ATGTGATCCTTTTACTTGCACACTATATTTACCACGATCTAAAATATTTAATAAATCTTTCCATTTAAAATAATTTCCATCTATCTCATTGATAATTACTTCTTCTTGCCCATTAAAATTTGGCCACCACTTTGGATCTTCGCTTGGTTTCTCATATGCTTTGGGAAATAGGATACGAAAAAAATATGATTTTCCTGTACGAGGATAACCAAAAACATAAATATTGCAAGATTTCCAACATCTTTCATAATTATTATTTAAATTTTCTACTTTTTTTACAGCATTACACATAGTTTCGACAAACCCTGGATTGTTTTTAACCCACTGTTTGTTTTTTTTTGCATATTTAACAAGAATTTGATTTTTAGTAAGCTTTCCATCTAAGATATCTTGAATAACTTTTTCTAAATAATCATCTTTAAGAGTTTTATTTGAATTATTATTCTTTCTAGTTTTTGTAATATTTTTTGCCTTATAAGTTCCAAATTCAAAAGGTCCAGATTCTGAATTGTATTTTGCCCAAGTTCTATATTTCTTACAACCTTCATTGCACCATTCACAATATTTGTCTAGATCAAAATAATCACATCGACAGTGCATAATTTTGCTTTTTGGATCATTTGGATTAATGGGTTTTTTATAATGCAATGAGCATTTGTTATAGTCTTTTCCAGTATAACGAACAGAATCTTCAATGCTTGCAACACCTTCAAAATGAGGTTTATTTATTTGTAAAAGACCTTTAACACCTGAAATAATGTCTTTCTTTCTATTTTTTTCACCAGCTTTTAAATATTTTCCAATTCTTGTTGCTTCTTTGAGAATTAAAACTCCCTAGATGTGAATCTCCATTTGATCTTGTTGGGGATTGTAATTTCTCTTATCACTTTTGAAATAGTTTTCTACCAAAGAATTAAACTTTTTTCGATCAAAATAATATGCGGTGAAATTCAAATACCTATTGCTTTGCTGTAATATCAAATTTTTTTAATTTAATCAAAAACATTTTGGAATAATAATTTTGGTCTAATAAAGAAAACAAAAATACCATCCCATTTATACTTTTTAAATTTAACAATAATTTTGTTTACGTGCAAAAAAACTTTAAATTTAATAAAATTACCAAATGTAGACTGTTACAAAAGGAAATTACACTAAAGTAAAATTACCTAATGTAGACGTCTACATTAGGAAATAAAAGTAATCTAACTTGCACCAAAACGTCTATCCTTTTTGAGTTTTTCCGTCACGATAGCCCACACTTCAACGTTAATTTACGCAACTTTCTCATAACAAAACAACCTTTACGCTTCTAATCAAACTTCTAGAATAGATATCGGACTATTCGAATCTCAATTTCTAGCCTGTTTCATCAGATATTCGTAGAGGTATTCACGTTTTTGTCTTCGATTCGCTCATACGTTTTCGCAAAATTGCCGACGGATTTCAATCGATCAGAAGACCAATTTCTTCAAATGAAACAATATTTACGTCTCTAAC